CCCCCCCCCCCCCCAAAAAAAAAAAAAAATGCATAACCATTATTTCCAATTTCACCTGGGTATTAAATAGAAGACAACCGTTATGCAAAATTTTGGGAGGTTGACAAGGTGCATTATGGTCTATGTTAAAATGGTGAATTGACTATACAGTACGTTCTACCGGGCACCCAACGACTGAGCTACGACTGTTTTCTGTAAAATACCGTAAAATTCCCAAAATAAGCCCCTCCATGTATAAGTCCCCCAAACTCGTAACGCAAAAAACCCTCAGTTAAATCGCCCCTCCAAATATAAGCCCCCTGGGGGCTTGTACTTGGAAATTGCCCTTAAATACAAAGTAAAACAAAGTAAAAACAGTAAATTTCCTTCCAACTGTAAGGCTAGCCCAATCAATTTTGAAACGCAAATTTCCCTCCATAGATTAGCCCCTCCGAATATAAGCCCCTCAAAAAGGGCCTTTGAAAAATATAAGCCCCGGGGCTTACTTTCAGAATTTTACAGTATCTGTTCGGAGAAGCAAATATTGCCTAGAATTTTCTTTGCTTGAGGACGGCTAAAAATTTCTAGATGAACGTTCCATTCACGTACAATTTTCGAAGCTAATCTCATAAATTCCCTACGATTTTCTGAAGTCTAATTTTTAATATTTCACTACCCAGGTTACTCTGTTTTTCTTAGAAAAAGGAAACCTACAATTTTTGTATTCTAAAATGAGATGAAGAGATTAATCAGAAAAATTCTGGCTTTCGTAAAACGTTAAATTGCACCTAAAATTTTCGGAAAAATAATACTGAGGCCCTCGGTAATTCCGAAAGGACCTAAGTTCCCCTAGGATGACTAAACAGAATAAAAAAAAGTAGAACCGCTTAGAATGCATTTCTAAAGATCTAAAAGTACTCTGGGTAGCCTAAAAAGTGTTTTCAACGTATTTTGGATAAAACTGTCGTTTGGTGCCCCTGATTCTACTTGCTTTAAAAGACAAATCGCGCATTCTGATTGGCCAACGTACTCGCTGAAGCTGTCCTGTTTTTATTTATTCCAAGAAGCTATAAAAAATTTAAGCTTTAGCAGCCTAAGTAGAAATTTAATCGTTTTGGCTAGAGTCCTTAGATAAAACAAATTACACCTAAAACCTTTCCTATTGTTTGGAAATTTAGGCAGCATTAGTTTTTAATAACCACGCACACGTCAATAAAAATGGCAGAAAATGCAAAGCAATAACTTCAATTTTCACACAAAATTAAGATTTAATTTCGATAGGACAATGTGGTAAATTGGTTTCTTGACAAAAACGATTTTACTCTCAAAAAACGCCACAAATGATTTTTAATTCTGATAAGCACGCCGTCATACGTAAATAAGCGGTAAACATTTCGCGCACACAGAGAACATTTTTGCTAAGAAGTTTAAGTTACTAAGGAGATGAAAAGATCGGTAAAAAGTGATACAGTGGGGCAATATTTTACCGAATTCTCACTAAGATAGGAGAACCCTGAACAAACAAAGGACTGATAGGTTCGCCGGAAAGTGGGTAATTGTCACCTTTTATTTGACTTTTAGTAAACCTACCGTAAAATGCTTATAAAACAGCGCCCCTAGAAACAAAGACAACTTCAAATTTTTCGCGTCTATCTTTTTTCTTTCTTTTTTTTTAATTATATCTTTTTAAATGTTCTTCAAACCTCTAGCACTTATACATAGAAGTGAAAATTTCCAAAGATTTGGCAACGTTTATTGAAAAAACAAATTGCGATTTTTTTGCAACCGCAAAATGAAAGAGTCGCTAAATTGAAAGAAAAAATAAACCGTAAGTGACTCTTTATGAAGAGTTAAAGAAATTCTCCAAAAAAAAAATTGCGAGTCGCGTCTATAACGGCGAAATTAAAGAGTCGCGGAAGATTCTATTAACGAGGAACCGCCACATGCGGGAAAGTCCATCCCTTCATTTTTTTTTTTTTTTTTAATTGCCCTTGGGTTTTTAACATTGCTTCAAATGATCAACTTCCTAGTGCAGTATAGAAGATAAAAATAAAGAAGGGCCAACATCCTACAACAATTCCATCGACGAATTCTGATCGAAGTGACATTGTAGGTTATTATCCAGAGTTTGTATGAAGTAATTGCAGGTCATACTGACTTTGTAATTCAAGGATTTATTTTTGCGGCGAAAAGCGGTGAAGGGATTTTCAAAGAGTAACAAAGTAGTGACAAAAAGTCTTATTTTTTATTTATTTCATTATTTATTATAAGTAGTATTTTCCTTTGTGAATTACATAGAAAAACCCCGATTAAAAAGAGTTTTAAAAAAAAAAACGTGGTCATCCTGAAGGATGTCTAGCGCTTAATGTATACGTGTTCTAATACAAAACTGACTGGAAATTAGTTCCTCTCATGATAGAAACTTCTCTAGGGAAAATTATAATTAATTTTGCCCGTCATTCATAATGCATGGCCAACTTGGCAATGAGTGACAGTTTCCAGTGGCGAGTAATTAATAAGAGGCATGTATTTTTTCTAAATGGTTTTTGTAGGAGAGAATGTAAAACATTAAACGAGTTAGGCTATAAACGGGAAAGCAATTACCTGTGAAAAGAGGTATTAGGTAACTTTTTAGAAAACAACCCGTCCGTGAGCTCAAAGTAATTTTATCATAACGAGCCTGTAAGGGATTATCTTTGAACTGGTGAAAACCTTAAAAGAATAATGTCGGAAAAGGATTATAAACCACAGTGAGAAAGTTTAGACAGGTGTGGTTAAAAACTGGGCAAAATTACAACAGATAAGAATGAAAACCCAAAAACAAATTGAA